GAGAAACGGAGTGAGTGGTTACAAAAACGGCATTAGCAGCCCCGAAATCGGTTTAATGCAAATAGTTGCAATTTCAAGGAAACACCAGTAGACTCCGTCACTGCATGTCTGGGGTGCTTAACAGCGTGGCAAAGCACTTCATCGAAACTGAGCCATCACCTGCACTTGAGTTGGCTGGGAAGAGGCAATGTGGGTCTGATGTTGTTTTTGGAGGCTGAACTTAGTGGTGCAGCTTCTGCTAATTTCCCAAGTGGAGGCGTACCAAGAAAATGTCTCTTTTTTTGCTGGTGCAAGTATGCCCAGTGGGCCTTTTGCCAGCATAGTAATGGCAATCAGAGGTGGGTCAAGGTAATCTATATCCCTGACTAATGAGCACAAGCTGGCAAACAATATATTAAGTGCTAAAAAAAATTTAAAATCTCACCAACCAATATTTTCAGCTGAACTACTCTCAAAGCTTTAAACTTCAATTTCCTAACGAAACATACAGAACGAAGTCTTCAGATGGGAAACTTTCTCTAAGTCCAACACATCCTCACAAGGGATTTTCCATGCTTTAAAAGGCCTCAACAGGTCTCAGACAATTCAGGAAGAATGCCTCTTTCCAGAGATTTAAACAATTTAAATATTTGGGGCTAGTTTAGGAGAACTATGCAAGCAGGCAACACAGTGCCGGAAAAGACCAGATATGTGTAATTAAATTATTTGCAAAAGCCTTTATCTAAAACGCAAAGATGTAATCAAAGCCAGCCTGCATCTAAACCCGCTGTACAAATGGATCACTTGGTTCTCAGCATCACGTAGGTTTGAAAAAACACGCTTCTGAGATTTAAAGTACACAAAGTACATTTCTGTCCTGTACACCAATACACAAGGTCTACATTAAGGCTGTCCCAAAAGCCCGAGGATTTTTCAAAGCTCACCCAAAAGGAGAGAGCTGTTGGATGGAAGATGCACTAGCCCACCAGGTCACGGGCAAGAATTTGCACAGCAAGAAACTCCCCTGCTGATTAAAACAGGGCCAGGATGTTTACAGGACTGAAAAACAAATATTCCTTGTGCCTCCAGCTGTTCGACAAATGACCTGTCACTGTTCCTGAGAACACAATATATAGCCGTTTAGCTCTTCTGGAAGGTGATTATGGAATAGTAACTAATATACAGATTAGTAGGGGTAGGATACAGGCACAAGTTTGCATGCAGGTATGTACACACACACACACACACACACACACGTGCATGGACACAACTTAATGGTAACAACCAAAAGGAACTTGTGAATAGTCCTAAATACCTTCAAATGTATCAGCAAGCCTACTGTTTACCCTTGAGGGAAGGAAAAAAAAGCAAAGGGAAAAAAAGAAAGCAAAGACCAATTTTGGAGCATATCCATTTTCACCAGCCTACTATTTTCTTTTTCTTTGCCTATGAAATCAGGTTACCTTAGTTACCATGAGCGTTCAGGGCTCGGAGTCAGAAAAAGGTTAGTAATCAATCTTCCCCAAACCATCCAAACATTCCTTACAGATCAGAGCATCAGTTTTAAGGTCCAGTATCTCACTACCTGGCAGGGTTAGAAACAACCACTTCAGACAGCACTGTTCACTGTTCCAGACAGCCTACACACAGGACTCTCCAGTAGGACAAGGCTGTCTTCCCTATTGCAAAGAAAGTGCATTCTTTCAGAAATAATGTCATTTTACTCCTTGACCTTTGCTGAACCACATTCACAGAGAGGAAAAAAAAAAAAAACAAACAAAAAAACCAACAAAACAAACAAAAAAACCACCTCAGTGACACTTTTTTTTTTTTTTTTTTATTTCTGCAACACAAAAATCTAGAGATTTGGGAGAACAGAAGCAGCTTCTGGCTAGGACAAACTGGTGGGAGAAGTGGGCAAGCAATAATAAAAAGCCAAATAAAGCACAGCTTGACCCATGGTTCCTGCAGATCCCATGACTGCAGGAACATAAGCAGATTCCTCACTAGCCATCAAGAACTTGTACATGGGGCATGCATCTGAGTTTTCATACTTACAAGGAAAAAGCACGATGTAATAAAGTAATATCAGTCTGAGGCTGGGTTAAGTGCAGAATTCAGCAGTGACAAGACTAGAAGTAGCTTAAGTAGGTCCTCCCTGACAAAAACAACCTATTCCGCAAAGTATCATGAATTCTGCATGTGCCACACGCTACAGAAAAGGGGCCTGAACACCTGCTGTTGATGGGGTACCAGTCTCCATGTTCCTCACTCTCAACTTTTAAGCAGCGTCACATACGCAGAGCCTGCCTGTACAGCACTGGGATGCACCCAACCACCATCAGGCTAAATGTACATCCAGAATTAGAGCCGAGTGCTCCATTGGGAACCTGGGAGAGAAACCCCTTTATGTTGCTAAACCCTCTGCCTTTTCCAGTCCTGAAAGATCACAGGGAGGCACCAAAAGTGGGGCATAAATTTAGCACTAAGAAGGGAGCCATACTAAGCCACATAAGGGAAAAATTAACCTTTGCGGCAGGACAGAGGTCATAATGCTCTATTTTTTAAATACACATTTAAAGAAAAATCTTTTAACTTGACAATTTCTGAAGTGGGGACATCACTGGACTGAATTTTGGGAAGACAGGTTACTGGGCAAAGGTCGGGAGATGCAGCCAGAATTCAGGCTAACATGATCCATCACACAGAAAACTCCACACACATATTATGTGGGTTTTGCGCACGATACAGAAACCAAAACACCAGTGTGGATGTATAATCTACATGATTAACTCTATACTGTTTGCAGAAATCTTTTATAATTTACAAAGCTTCATTTGAGTGGCTGTGGAATACAGTTTATTAATTCTGGATATTTTCAAGGGGAGTTTTCCATAAATGCTTCATAGAATTACCTATCTTCAGAGATCACCAATTTTTAAGCCTGTGAAGACCGACAGTGCTATGTAATTCTGATATTCCTTCTTTTACCATTTTGTTCTGTTAGCAAGGGCATATTCTCTCTCACTGCAACAAAAGAAAAACAGAAAAAACACACACTGTTGCAACATTATTCTATTGACAGCACTCTCATCAGAGGTCCCTAATATTCATCAGAAAATACCATATTTACTCCTATAAGAGGCCCCAAAACAGAAGTAGCAGATTGCAAGCTCACCTACAGCAAGCAACAGGTGACTACACTTTCAGAGCTGACAGGTATACTGGCTGCACAATAGGTTTGGACAGCAGGGTCTGATGACACGGTAAAGATGCAAGAGGAAATGCAGCTATTAGGTGAGCAAATACTAAGTTCTTTTTAAACAAATCTTTTCTACAGAACTGGAACAGGTTGCATTTTCCACACAAAGAAAAATTTCCTCACTCAAGAAAAATTAAGAGACAACAGTGCAGGCATCACACTGAACAATGTTAATGGGAAGTGCATAAATCCACTGGCATGCAGAGGTGGCAAAAGATGGCCAAGGGCTGCCTTCAAAGAAAGCACATTCCCAAGAGGTGACTTTGAAGGCAACTTCAAGGCTCACTTTGCTGAGATCTGTGCATGGGGAAAAGTTGATCCTCAACCGGTCCAAGCCCAAGGCCCAGCCCAGGAGTGCTCTGCCATGACAAATGAGTTCGAGCAGTTCTCGCCTGAAGGCTTCTCCGCTGAATAATCCTCGTGTAGGCAACAGCACAGTAGCTGTGTAGGCACATACATTCTCTGGCTTAAAAAGCTCACTTCTGAAGGACAACAAAAGTCACTGAAACCAAACCCAACATTAGCTGGTTTTGTCTTCTATTTGTTTTACTTTTAACTAAGAATTCTGTTCATAGGTTGTTTGCAAAAATCTGATTTCACAGCTTTTATTCCCAGGAACCAGACATGATGAGAGCCCTAGCTGACTGACAGCCACCTAGTCATCTCCCGAACACCTGTCCTGTGGGTCTGAGTGAAAATACAAAAAGTGAATTCCGTCATACAATCTCTATCTCTCCCTTCAAATAATACATAAATTAAAAGGCAGCTTTACTCTGCACTACCAGCGTGACTCAGACCGAAAAACAATTACAGAGACAAATGAGGCTGCGTACTCAGACTAACAGTTACACAAAGGTTTCCTTAACTAGAATAAAACCAAATTACCTTATGAAGAAATTAATCTACACTGAGGCCCATAAAACACGCACACAGACACGCACACTGTTTTGGCATTAAAACTCTGCATAGATCAAAGATGTACTTCAGTTATCAGAGCCCCCGGTGTACACAAGTCCTGCAGAAATCCAGCCTCCAGCCACGGGACCGGGTGCTAGGGCACGTACTCCTCCGCAGCGCCCGCCGGGCACTCAGCGGCTGCTGCCCATGACCAAGCACAGGGCTTAAGAAAATAGAAAAAAAGTGAAAGATCTTAAAGTGAAAAGGTCTATGACACACTCACACACAAGTGTATTAGAAACTACTCAAGCTAAGACTCTAAAGATCCTTTAAATCCATTTCCGAAATGCATTTTAAGTGCAAGTTGTGCTTTTTCATGTGCTTGTGATGCCACTATCACCATTTGCCAACCGCCTTCCAGCGCCGCGCGTGCTCCCACACAGAAACAGCCAGGGAAGAGACACCCCACGAGCCACTCCACAGGCAGGCAACGTTCTCCAACTACTCTTAAGACCAGCACGGCAAAACTAGGGCTTGCAGACACTTGGTTAATACGCGAGTCACCTTTGCCCATGAGCGTGGTCCTGCTGGCGTCGGCCGGATGACGTGCACGGAGGAGGGTTTCCGCAACAGGGCCCAGAGCAAAACGGTTCGCAGTGCGAATAACTGGTGCTCCCCCGTCCCTGGCAGATGCTGCAGAAGCCAGCACCGCTGCCACGGGCGCTCTCGGTACCGCTGCGGAAACTGCACGGGGGGGTCAGAGCTACAAAGGCCCCTTCACGTCAACAGGATGGATCTCCAGGACTGAACTTCAGTATCTAAAGGATGAAATGGAGGGCGAAAAGCACAACAGAGTCTCACGTATTTTAACAGCATTGCAGGGGAAAAAACCCACCTTGCATTTTTAAACAATTTATTGCATAATGTCATGATATGTGACTAAATACATTTCAGGCTACAGTGAGGACAAAAATCTCTAGAACTGTAAGCACTGGCGATACTGCATTATGAAAAGGAAAAGAATGGCAGCACTTAGTTAAAATCAATACAAATTAACACATCTGGGATTTTTTTTTGCCATTTACGAAACAATTAGTCTACACTGCAAAATAGCTAAACCCTAAGTGATGGAAAACGCTGGGATTTCGTATTTGCCTTCTTCCATCCAAAAGTCTCCAAGACACTTCATTGATGCACGGTTATTTGAACGCAAATTATTGCAATGACAAGTGTCCCTGTATTTCTTGATTTGTAAAAGTCAAGAGATGTTAGGCTAAGTCCTGTCCCCTTTTTCTAGCAAACCGGGGGGAGGGGGGGGGCAAACTCCTCCAGATTACTTCTGGGGCTCTATCATTATTCCACAGGTGAAAAGACAACATATAGAAGAACTTCACATAAAACAGTTCCCTCATATATATTTTTTTAAAACATTAAGATAGTGCAACTTTTTTAAAACACATTTATCACAACACAAATTAATTCCTTGCATTCATCTAAGTTCTCAACTTTATACCTTGGCACACAAAACAGGAATTTTGTTTCATATTAAAAAAAAAAAAAAATCCACACCCTGGGAGAAAAAAAAAAGCAAACTGGCCAATTCTTCCCCCCTTTATCTAACAAACCCACCTTCTTCCTTCTGCCATTCAGTGAGTATAAAACAGGCTGTACAAAGCCTCATTTCTGTGCTAAGTTAACTTTTAGAATTAAATAATTGAAATAGTTTATAAAAAAAAATAATATATCCCCCCCCCCTCCCCTGAAACACTGCTCGTAGACAAACTGAATGGAAGTTTGTATTTCTTTCAATCTGCTTTGCATGCAATTCCCCTGAAAGGAATCAGAAACAAAGAACTGGTTTGCACGTTTGGTTTTACTAAGTTGTACCACGTGAAACGTAACAACATTGTGCACCGGAGCATGGGGGTCTTCCTCCACCGCCCTGCTTGAATCTCTTGTCTTCAGTTCAAATGCACCTGGGCGAGTAACTTAGACCAGGTTTCCTGGTTTCCGGTCTTGGCCTTTGCTGGGGACTATTGTGCTCTCTGAATTGTTCTGCTGAAACTGAAGTCTGCTCCCCCTCTGCGAGGAAGGAGGCACGTTGCTGTGCTGGTGATGGAAAAAAGAGGAGCCTGGGTAATGCCCCATGACCTCGCTGTACGTCGGGGGTGGTCCTTCCATCCTTCCATTACTGCTATAGTTGGTTGCACTTATGCCCGAATTGCTGCTTGGTGGGCAGGGGCCCCCATTGTACATCGAGATGTCTATCAAGTCGCTATCAAAAATGGTTCGGTTGGGTGGTGCCCTGACGGATTCCCGGTTGAGCTCCATCTGCTGTTCTGGGTCCCGGAGCTGCAGGGTGCACGGGCCTTGGTAGGGCGGTGGCTCCTCCCCGTCGGAGAGGGAGATGGTCGGAGGAAGGTCGATCTCATGCTGCATGTAAGGGTAAGTGGGCTGGAAGCGACTGAAACGGTCCCGCTGCATGAAAGACGGGGCGGTAAACCTGTCCCTGGACCTTGGAGCATACATGATCTGAAACAGGAGGAGAGACACACGTGACTCCGCATGCGAGCAAAGTGCTCTGGGTGCTCCATATTTACGAAGAATTACTGATAGAATGCAAAATGCTTCTCTCTGTCACCTATCTTGGAGATGAAACCCAACAGATATTGTGCACACACGCTCCCACACACGTGCACGTAAAATGAAGAGGTAGGAGCTGCAGGAAGGATCCAACATAAGATACTGGAGAATAGATTCATGAAGGAAGACCGAGACCCCACACAACTCCTTCTGACATTAAAACGTGCAGAGCCAAGAGAAAATGATTCTGTTTCTGAGCACAGGAAACGCATTCTCTCTAGTCTTGACAACTGACTAGTTCTACAAAAACGTCCCAATTCTGAATTTCAGCTGCAGACTGAGCTTCCCCTTCCTACTCAAGAGTTAATGTAATACCCTGCATCACCAAAGAATTCAGATGGTCATTTCAGTACATTATGTGAAGGCCCGACATATCTCACGCCTTCACCACCGAAGTGTATCAGGTGTCCTCCTCCCCCTCAGTTCTCAGCCAGAACTCAGCCTCTGGGGAGGACCTACAAGGCTCCTGCACTCGGAGTGGAAAAAATGTCCCTGGCATATCAAGGCCTGGAGAAAGTCAGGCTTTATAAAAGAAAGAGCTCAAGATACTCTCTGAGGAGCTATTGCTCCTCATGTGGTCTGTCCCAGATCTAGACAGACACACCAGCTTCTTAGATCTAGATCTATCAAATGACTCTTCTCATTTCTGAGACCATGCAGGGTTTTTAGCCCCCCTAACCCTCACAGATGCTGGGCCAACTACCAAGAAGTTTGCACAGGAGAGCTGGATTACTTGGAGCAATAGACCCACAAATTACACCACAGACCAGAGAGACCTGTGCTAGCTGGAAGGTGGGAGATGCTGGTGGCAGGATATGTGTTGCAAATCCAAGCAAAATTCAGGGAGAAGAGCAACTGGTCTCCTAGCTTCCGCTGAATATTCAAATTACCAAGTTACTGCATGAGAGACACACACCACCACATCCCTGTGAATGACTACTACAAAGGCAGCTCCTGATGGAGACGAGGTGTCAGGTAGGGAGAATTTAATTCTTTTAATGAAAAAGTCTTAGGCATTTACGGAATGGGAGTTAAGGCAGGCTCAGATATCCACATGAACCTGGCTCTTGGTCTACACTGAAAAAACTTTATTTACTAAATACATACATGTTTTTGAAAGAGCAAAATATATGTTACAGGAAAGAGGAAAGTATGTTGGTAAAGATATAAGAAATGTGTCCGTACCTCTGAAGCACCCTGGCGTGAAACTGAGCTCTCTGAAGGCCACAAGCACCCTTCCTGGAATGTAGAAGAAAACAATGAAAGACAGAAAATTAATAGATCATATTACCATCCTCCCTCAATACTACAGTTCTTACAAGCAGTCAACTTCTAAGGACTAGCTGTCTCCACCTAGAGAACAGCGATAAACAGGTAACATCCCACCCCTTTCTTTCCAAAACTAGAGCAAACAGCAGCTCTGCACCCAAGCAAGTCCAGCGTGGTCCATTTTGCAAGGGCCGAGACGCCAGCCACAGCACCCAGCCCCGGAGGCTGCAGCGAGCCGGCCGCAGCCACGAGCGGGTGACGACGTGCAGAGGTGACAGGAGACACCAGCACTTGTGTGCCGGGCAGGTACCTGTCACCTCCCAACCTGTGATGAGGCCACATCAGCAAGGTCGGCAGGTCTGATGAAGCCGACCTGCCAGCCAGGATCCCCCACTACACACCACAGCCGAAACAGTTCACAACGGAAGCTGGTGTCTGTAATCGCAGTGAAGTGACAGTCACTCTAAACCCAGGTATATTCTGGTCAAAACAGTCAGCTGCCCAATTCCCACCATAAACAGTAATTAAGCAGCTGAGGTTTCAGCCAGCAATTCTCCTCTCCAACCACTTCCCCAACCACCATACCAGGCCAAAGTGTTTTCTCTCTCATGCCTTGAAAGGCTGTTGTGACATTGTATCAGCACTCACAGAAAAATAAAAGGGTGAAGAACAACAAGTCAATAAGAAAAAACAGCTTCAGGTGTATCATTATTTTTCTTCTCAATTAATTGTTTAGAGTAGTAGTAATTACCACAATGGATTTATTTTATTGGAAAATTTCAAAGGTGAAAAGGACACAGAGCAGCTATAAAACACAGAATTTCAGTCTTGGTGCAAAAAGAGAAAATCAAAATATTGTATGGTCATGACTATTTTCTTGGTGCTAATTCAAGTTTTATAGACAAAAGAAATTTCAGGAACAGGAAGGAAAATGCATACTGTCCCCAAAAGCATTACCATGTATAGACTACTTTCAAATCTTACTGTACTACTACTTCTCACCATAGCATCTTTCAACATATTTCAGATGTAAAAATAGACCTAACTAAATGTTCATCATGACACTCAGAGACCAAAAGACGTCTGTGATCTTGTCAGGAGAGTCCACTGCAGAGGAAAGCTGCTCCAAGAGGAATCTCCCACAGGATTCAGCTGTTAAGGGAAATGTTTTGAATAACAAAGCTGGTCAATCACTTCTCTTCTGTAGCTTTAGAGAACAGGGAGAGAGGGAGGCTGACAATTGCAATTATTTACAACTGTCCCTTTCCAAGTACCCCCATTTGCGAAGGCCTGATAGGAAAGACAGATCTTATGTAGATTCATGTATTTCAGTGCCTATATAAGGTTTTGGCAATAGAAGAAATCGTAACTGTATATATACATGTATATACATAATTGTACCTACCTTCCTTTCTACCCCTCCATCGCCCAGATGCCCCACATTTTGAAATATCTGAGGGTATATTTGCACAATTAATGACAACTAAGTTCGAAGCAGCTGACCCAGCAGGCTCCAAGTCTGTTGCAATTCTTAAGTAAAACATACTAGTCAAAGCTAAAGTGCTTAGTTTACTGCCTGTGAACTACAGGGCATATGCAGCTCAACAGCAGATTCCTGAGTGATGGTTTGAGAAATACAATAGTGTGTAGCTTTATGCTTAGGGCAACTGTCTTGATCTCACCTTTCATGTGTTCAGGCTCAGAGGAGGGGGAAAAAAAGGCAAAACTGATGACCCAACCCAGAAAGGAATTCAATCTACCACCACCACTCATCTTACTTAAATTCCCTTATGAAAGAGAGTTTCCACTGTGGAAGTGGAAACGAGGACTCCCACCCTAGAGCCCACCTCCCCTAAGGCAGGAGAGTAAGAATTGCAGAGGGAGAGTGTGCAGTATATGGAGAAAAACTCCTCGGGCTGAGATGGGGCAGGACCTGCACGCCGAGCCTAGGCACACAGACCTGGTTCCAGCCATGTCCAACAGAGACCACTGGCTGGAAGAGTGGAGTTGCCCATTACTTCTCCTGATGATGCCTGAATCCCAGTACAGTAAAAAACCCTGCCGGGAGGCACTGCAACTACTGCAGGGGCCCCACTGAGTGCGACCAGGATGCTGGGATAGTCAGACCAAGACGATGAGACCAAAGGAATCCAAGGCTCTCCCCACTCTGGGCTAACGACTCCAGGAGGCAGACGGCTTGGGATGGAGCTGAACTCCAAGGCTGTGAAATCCTTAGGATGCAAGGATGTGTAACAACATGAGCTCTGTGACAGTGTGTCCTACAGCCCACCTGTAGCTACCCCCTTCCCCAAGGTTTCCTCTGGAGAGAGCAGCAAGCTGAATAAATCACTTGGTGGCAGCCAACCCCCGGTAAGATCTCTATCACAGGAGCCAGAGAAACTCCCCAAGCATATCGCTGAGTAGCACTTGCTCAGCATGCCCGTGTTTGGAAAATACCAGGCTCACACACCACATGCAGACCAACCTCACCATGCATATGCGGCCGGTCCAGGTCCACAGTACAGGATTCTCTCACCACCACTAGAACAAGCCCAGACTAACTGGCCCAGTGTAGGAAAACGTACTGCACTCTTACTTAGTGCATGGACAAGACTTAAAATGGACAGCGAGAAAGGCAAGGAAAAAAGGTAAGGACCTGTCAGATAACTGGGTTTCCTGCACTCAGCTACAGAGGAATCCTTGAACTCTTCTAGGACACAAACTTATTTTCTAGTGATCTGCAGTGTCAAACGCAAACATGCACATGGGCTTCCTAAACTTTAAGAAAGCAGTATGACAACACAGGAAGCTGAGTACGAAGAGGAGGAAAAGAGAGAGAGAGAGAGAGAGAGAAAGAGACAATGGACAACATACCAGTGCTTAATTATGAATAGCTCTGTGGGGTTTATAAGTATTTGAGAGATAAAATATAACAGGAAAATAATTTATGCTTAATATCATGCGCTAGGCATTAGATATGTAAAAGGATAACCTTTACATAGCACGTATTTCATTAGCTGCCTCTGAGCCAGACTCAGTAGCTCTCTACTGAGCTGTGCAGCTCCCGCTTCAGGGCTGGCCTGGGAACTGCCAGCTCGGAGCAGAAGCAGGCTCTGCTCTGGCCTATCTGCAACCACTTACTCAGATGTGCCCTTCTGCTAGCATCCCAAGGCTGAGAGAAAAGTTAGGAAATGGAGAGAAATTTAACACACTGAAGTGCTTTGCTGAATCTTGCCCTGAAATGCTATAGTGGTTTTCTGCTCTTTGCCTTCCATGGATAAACCCCATCTCCCCTACAGAAGGTGGCATCTGTCTGGAACAAGAGAACTGCATCCAAGCAGAAGCAGGTGCAGGTGCCTGCCCCATCTTCCCAATTCTGGTCTTTTCAGTCATTCTGCCTTCCTGAAATTGCTGCATCAACCACAGAAGACTTACAATCTATCTTTTTCAAGTCTTCTTATCAGGGAAATTCTCCCTCTCCTGGACTGAGTAGATACAACCTAACCCAAGGGTTGGTACCCACACCTAACGCCACCGTTCTCGGGGTGATGGCAAGGGGTTGAGAGAAGAAGAAAGGAAAAACCTCACTGTTGTAGAAGGAAAATATCCCCATGACTTCCCCCCCGCCAAGACATGGATCTAAGTAGTAACATGCTGGGACTACCGTGAACAATCCAGGGTGACTTGCAACAAAGGAAAGTGTTATTTCTTGCTCTCTCCCTGTCCCTTTACCTACAGACCTTCATTTGACAGCTAAAACGTTTCCCTGTGCTTAGATCAGTGACAATCATGTAAGAACTGACAGGATTTATACTCCTATTCCCTCATCTTGTTTCTCTCTTTATTATTCAAAGTACCAAGGTAGATTGGCCTAATGATAAAGAATTACTTCCCACTTTGTTTCACTCAGTGCCTTCTCCTCCCACTTCTCCTCCCGTGGGCAGGCGATAGGGCTCGGCAGGTCGGCTCGCCAGCCGCCAGGCCTGGTGCAAACTGGCGGCCCCAGCACCGCGCCGCCGGGCACTTCCCAGATAGCAGATCCAGCGCTGGCAGTCCTGCTCCATACCCCCTCACTCAGAACACCCGGGGAATTGTACAAGCTGTTCTCAGGTATGTGCCATCAAGGTTAAAGTGAGCAAACACAATGAACCCATTTTTTTTTTTCCTGTGGGCAATGCATAATTTACCTGCTTCTTATAGGTTCTCAATAGCTAGCCACTTCAACTTGCTCCTTCTTAAAGGGACTAAAGGTATTCAGGCGTGAGCCTCGATACATAAAAATAACAGGGAGAGAAAGCTTATGCATTCACTCCCTATATTGTATTCATTTTTAACATTGTTAGCTGTTGAAAAAGGATGAGTCTCCATGGTAAATCCTAACTCCTACAAATAACATCAAAGCAATAAAAATCTTAGGGATCCAGCTATGTCATTTGCTGACCTTTGTCATTCCTGGGTTTTACAATAATTTACAGATATTAACCTTGCAATTAGGTTTTGAAATAACACTGTCCTTTAATAAATCCAGCTGGGTGACTACTTAATTATTTTATGGTGATGATTATTTAATTCAATATTTAGATCTTAGGAGAGTGGATAAGCCTAAAATAATTTGACTAATTTGTATTTTACAAAGGTTTACAGCCTCTAGAATTCAGCAGTTCAGGATAATGACTTTTTGAGACCATTTTTAAACACCATGTTTCCTGGAGCACACAGAGTCATCCAACTACCTCAGATGAGCATCAGCACATTGACAGACAGCAGGAAAGAAATTTACTGGAAGGAGAATTTTTAAACTCGTGACAAATTGCAGGTAAAATTTATGCTCAGTAAGAAGAATTCCTCAAACTGTAGTGAAGCAAAAGCATCCTTGTGCTGGTTTCTGCTTCTCACCCCACCCTGCCCCGCCAGTGAGGAGGCTGGGGGTACACAAGGAATTGGTAGGGGACACAGCCTGGACAGCTGAC